CATCGTTGATCGCCGGCTCAACCGTTGGTTGCTACCAGCCAATGCCTCCTACTGCTAGCCACAGATACAATTATTGATTGTTACCAACCATCACCATCCCTAGACTTTACCTTGCATTCATTTCAATTCAAGTCAAATATAAAAAAAAAAATCACCTAAATTCTTTTTACACTGATCTAAATAATTTCAATTATTTTTAATAGACTACATTCTGTTTATACTATATTTATTTTACTCTACATTTCATTTTCAACAAATCAAACAGTCCCTTAATAAAATAAAATAAAATAAAAAAGAAACATCTAAACTTTTTATTTCGGTCTAATCAACATTAAGCAAAATATATTAAAAATACTCAGCTTGACAAAAATTAATTTATATATAAAGCCAGCATTCATTTGGACACATTTAGCACACAATGACACAAAAATAGTCTTAATTTATCTACAATTCTAAGCTGCAATTCCATAGACTTTCTATTTTAAGCCTGATCGTCCAGGACGATGTAAATATCGTCCTAGCCGATATGAGTAAAAATAGAAATTCTAAGTCTCTCAAGTGTGTGTGTGTGTAGGGTTACTTAGCATCAGTCTCTTTGACCATTACAAATAGACTCAAGAAGAGAAAAAACAAAGTACAGACTGACTCAACCCTAAACCTACGCAATCTTGAACTGGCTTCGTTTGTTCGTCCGATCTTCGATTCCTAAAAAGTTAGAAGTAACAGGTAGTCCAAGAGAATCAATAGTGTTTGTGAATCATCAAAACATAAGTCATGAAAATAGATTTGCAACAATGCGCAAGCCTGGAGCTAAATTAGAATGTTCGCTCTCCTAGGGTTTTTCCCCTACTTTGGCGTTTGCTGCGAGGATGGTCTCAGCCGTCAGTTTTGCCTCAGGGAAGCTTCTCTTCACTAGTCTCTTGGTTTTTTGTGTGTTTTGGTTTTCCTTTTTCAGCTTTAATGGCATCTGCCTGGCATCGTGACTCGGGATTTTTTAATGGATTTTCTTCGGCTCTATCTTTTAAAGAAGCCTTGTCTGGGGCTTCTTCGTCTTCGGTTCCTTTTCCTGATTTGTGTATTTCTTCTCACGGGGTTTGCCGGCGTTTTTTATTTCAGAGGAGGAAATTTCCTTGCTTGTTGCGCAATTGGAATTTGCTTTGGTTGGTCGGTTTCTCGGCAAGCAACCATCCATTGATGACATTCGGAAGTTTTTTCTTCAACTTAAAACTCATATGTGATTGTTTGGTCACTGTTCTTAACCCTATAAACATTTTGATTAAGCTTGTTAATGATTTTGATTATTGTAGAATCTTCTCTCATCGATCTTATTTTGTGAATAACTATTATACGAAAGTGATGAACTGGTACCCAAATTTGGATGTTGACGTTGATTCCCCGATTGTTCCCATATGGGTTTCGTTTCCCTATCTTAGGTCCCATCTCTTCTCACCTTGAATCCTCTTTGGGTAGGGTTCCCTATTTGGCCGAACTCTGAAATCGGATACAGCCACTGCTTTGGGTTCCCGACCTTCCGTTGCTTGCATTCTCGTCGAATTGGATGTCACCAAAAAAATTCCTGATAAAATTTGGGTGGGTTCGCCTAATACTGGCTATATTCAATCTATGATTTTTTATGATATCCTCCACTTCTATATGTATTATAATTCATTAGGCCATTTGAAGGATGATTGCCGAATTTTACATCCTCAGCTGAATACTATTTCTAAACCATTTCCTAGCAATGTATCTGCTCTGTGTGCGTTGCCTAGGGTGAACTTGATTAATGCGGGTTCTGTTTTGACTATGCAGGAAGTTGGACTTAATGCTTAGGTGAATACTGACTTAGTTGATGACGTAGTGAATGTGGAGTCCATGGAAACTTTGGATGACGGGTGTGATGCTTGTCCTCTGGTTTTGGCCTCTGAGGGTCCGGTTGTTGATAATTTGGCCCCTTCCACATTTGTCCCTATCGAGTATGGTAGCCTGGTGGTGGGGAGTGAGGTTCCTTTGAGGTTTATTACTTCTCCTTTGGGCCCTACTCATTCTGCTCCCCTGGTTGGAGTTATGCATTGTGATACTAATTTAAAGGCTTCCTTTCTTGTGTGGATGATGTGTCTGACCTGATAGAATTGTCTGGGAAGGTGAATTCCGGGGTGCCTGCTGTCCCGGGGTTGGTGTCTTCCCCTACCCAATCATTAGTCCACAATATTGTGGCATCGCCGGTGTCCAATGGTATTTCGGGAAGTTCAGCATCCTTTATTAATGTTTCGATTACTGTTATGTCTGATAGCGAATTGAAGTCTCAGGTGGCTAAATCTGTTAAAAATTTTGTTTTGGCACAAAATGATTGGCTTATTCTGCGTGATTCCTCTTCGTTTGATGGGGAGGAGGATGAGAATTTTGATGAATGTTGGGAGGTTGCATTTGTTAAGCTTCCTGACCCTAATCATTCTATTGGTGGTAATAAACGTAAGAATAAAGGTAAAAAGAAATAAGCTCTGCCTCTTTTTTATGCTCTTCAGTGGTGATTTTTTTCAGCTTTGTGGACAATGATGAGGAAGCCCCCAGCTTCCCCTCGATGATTTGGCTGGTTGGCAACCGAGGTGATTTGGACTTGTACTTAGATTGGTTGGTGGTTTGGATTTGTTGGACTTCTCATTTATGGATGGTCCGTGGCTGGTCGCTTGGATGATGTAGGGGGCTTCCATTCCTGAGTCCGAGTTCGAGGTATTTTACTCTATGTGTATTGCCTCGAGCTATTTGTATTGAGTCCTTTTTTATGTTGTTGCAATGGCTGGGGGCCATGGACTATATTTTTCTTCTGTTTGAATAAATGGTTTCTTTTGTTAAAAAAAATGTTTTAGTGTTGATTTGATGAAAAAAGAATGAAAATATTACAAAAGCCCAAGATTTCAAAATTCACTCCTTAGTTCTTTTTTATATATTACAAACTCACTCATTTTTACTTGAATTCTTATTTCACCGCATGTTGAGTACATCGTTACCACTTGCAACCTGCTACCACCGTTGATCGCCAGCGCAACAATTGTTCGCTGCCGGTCAATGCCTCTCATCAACAACCAATGACGCAACCATTGGTTGTTGTCGGCCATCGTTGATCAATCGCCGGCTCAACCGTTGGTTGCTACCAGCCAATGCCTCCTGCCGCTAGCCAGAGATGCAATTATTGATTGTTACCAACCATCACCATCCCTAGACTTTACTTTGCATTCATTTCAATTCAAGTCAAATAAAAAAAATCACTTAAATTCTTTTTACACTGATCTAAATAATTTCAATTATTTTTAATAGACTACATTCTGTTTATACTATATTTATTTTACTCTACATTTCATTTTCAACAAATCAAACAGTCCCTTAATAAAATAAAATAAAATAAAAAAGAAACATCTAAACTTTTTATTTCGGTCTAATCAACATTAAGCAAAATATATTAAAAATACTCAGCTTGACAAAAATTAATTTATATATAAAGCCAGCATTCATTTGGACACATTTAGCACACAATGACACAAAAATAGTCTTAATTTATCTACAATTCTAAGCTGCAATTCCATCCAAACTAATTAATTGGCTACTAATTTAGCTTTTTTTTTTAAAATTTGGTTGCTAAATCTTATTTATTTATTTCACAATTGTATTTTTTTTATTAAGGATGATTGGATGATTATCAGAATAATTTGTTATTAATATGTGCTTATTGATGAAGACAAAAGGCCAGCCCTTTTTATTTCCTTGCTTATTCATCAAAATCCAAACTGGTACATTGTAAGTTTTGAACTTTAATGATAGGGGGATATTTAATTAGAAATTTTTGTAATAAAAGTTATTTTAAAAAATAATAAAAAAACTATTCTAGAATGATATTCTTATTGCTTTTTAATAAAAAATTAGTATAAAAATTTAAATTTTTTAACTAAAAAGCTGCTTTAAGAAACAGTAAGAAAATCATCCCAAGCAAAGCCTTAGACCGCTGCTTTCTTTTTTATTTTAAGAAATTTTGGTATTAAAAAACATTTTTATATAGCAGTAAAAAAGTCGTCCCAAATGAAGTCTAAATCAATAATAATTGGCATATTCATTTGTGGTCTAAAGCTTATGTTGGCTGATTGATGTGTTTCATAAAATTTTATAAACTAATTTTATGAAATAATTAATAATATAACAATTTAGTTATATTAAAAATCACATGTAATATTTAACAAAACATAATGTGGTCGAGCCTTATAAGATATGAAGATTTTATAGGGACATATCTATAATTAAAAATCTCATTTAAAAAAAAATCATAAAATCTCTTTAAGATCGAATCAATATAGGTTTAAGCTAATATCAATCAAGAAAAAAATGTAAATGAATAGGAAATTAAATTGGGAGTGATTTGAATGGATGATCGATGTTAAATTTCTTGATCGTGGACTGTTTATTGGGCATTTAAATGTCTTAGTGATATCATAATTTGGCGATCTTGGGCTCGTTGGATTCGTCTTGTCTAGCTGCTCGATTCGACTATAAGCATGTTATTTTTGGAAACCATTTGGTAATCCAAGTTATGATTTGAACCTTCCAAATATGCTTCGGGTCTTTGATTTGGAGTCATTTGGGTTAGGATTGAGTTGAATTTGCTGTCGTTATGTTTGTGTTTTTGAGACGTTCAATTCGACTGTAAGTTTACTGAAATCGGAGTTCATATGGTCTCCGAATTAATTTTTGAAGTTACCAACTAAATTTTGTATTGAGATTAAAAAAAAATTCAATTTTTTTAGGGGGGGCACGTGCCCCTCCTTGCCCCCCCTCCCTCCGCCCATGATTACAGCTTGAATTTGATTAATTAATCGTGTTCGAGCTTTATTCTATAAGTACAGCTCTTTTATTAATTTTGAAATAGAGAAAATACTTATAATTCAAATAATAATTATAATAAAATAATAAAACGAAAATGTAATTTATAAATATTTTAACAACTTTGTGCTTAGAAGTTAGAACTCAACCTAGCATTTGTAAGCGATTGGAGACTGAAATTTTTTTCCGAAACTTATTGAATAATTAAACTCGAAATAGACTTGATTCCATCGCGAATCCCTCGCCGAACCCTTTGCTCGCGACAACCGTCCGTCGCATAAGTACTTCGCCGGACCTCCTTGTTTCGTGGCCGTCCCTCAATACGGCGTCGGCTTCAGATCCCAACCAAGCAGCCGCTGGCCAAGTTTTTTCATATCCTGACCCGAATATTCTCCCACTTTTTCCGGCGGTCTTAAAGCCGGATTTGGGGTGAACCGTTTCGTCGTGGAGGTATAAGTAAACCAATTTTGCAGGTTTCGTTGTTTCTTCAACCCCGCCCAATGGATCTCCTTGGATCGGCCATTCCTGGAGATGTATGTTTGCTTTGAAACCCTAATTTATATATGTAATTTACTTGTCAGTGACCCGATTCAACTCGGTGACGAGCGCTGAAATACTTAAGCATCATTTGGCCTCTAATAACGTTTTTAAGTTTATTAGTTGGTTGTTTGATTATATGTTTAGAGTTTGTTCGAATCTGTAATGTTCATGAGGTTTGTCCTTTCCCTTTCGTTTTCCATCCATTTGTTTCCACACCTTCTTGACTGACAATTAGAAGGGTGTGCTACCGATTAACTGCATTTTAAGGATAGTTTGATTCAATAAAAGTGATGGCGAATTCTCAAATACCCATTTTGAAAAGTGAATGATGTCTAAACATGGGCGCTATACCTGGTAAATTTTGAAGGGCATTGTATGATTTATATTTTGTAATTGTAAGATTTAGAGATAAAAATTGGTATATTGTTGAGGATATACTGAGGCAATTTCATTTATGATGGGTTCAAAAAATTGACACGTGAAATGAAATACGGTCTCGCATGGCGTGGAATTTGCGTTTTAGTACATTGCTATTTTATTGATTTCATAATAAATATTATCAGGAATTTATCTTGCCGATACAATTTTTGTATACATTGAGAGAATTTATATTTCATCTTCTATGACAATTATTTTGTTGATGACATGTACATTTTTTTTAATATTTTGCCATTTTATCATAAATTTTAGAACATATGTCTTCATTATTTATCTATTGTCTGCAAATCAAAATCACATGATTGTATTACCATTTAAATATAATAAAAATTCCATGTGTCACTTTTTGGATCTCATTTAATGAGAATTTGGCCAAGATATGCTGACCATAAAATTTCCCCCATGTTTAATGTATGTATTTTGAGCATGTAACCTCAACTTTAGGTTGTTAACTAGAATCAATAGAATGTTTGGGACTTGTTGAGATTAGAATCAATCAATTTGAAATGAAAGTTGGTATCACTAGACCAAATCCAATTATAGTATGGAGTTTGATAAAGCTTACATCGAAGGAAAGAAAGGTGAAAAAGAAAACATGGGGAATGTTTAATTGACCAGATGAAGAAGTAATTTTTCAGTAGAAATCCAAATATAAAGATGAAAGTTGGAAGAATCAAGTCTAAAAGCCTACTTGGAGCTTTTCTATTTCTTTATCCTAGATGCCCAGAAGTTCATGCCTGGTGCTACCTAGATTGTTCCCTTTTCATGTTTCATGGCTTGAATGGCCCAAATTTGGGCATTTGTATGATTGTATCCAATGTGCCTTCACTTAGATTATCTGCTCCTCAAAACTGTGCAATGCACGCTTAACCAACTATTATTGGTATTAACTTTGAAATTGTAAAATATTAAAATTGGTCTGATAAAATCTGATTTCCTTTGATAGATGAGTTCTTCCATTCTCTTTTTCAGTATTTCATTCCAGTGGAGCTGATTCTTCAAATTATACCGGTTTATTACTTGTTTCCATGAAACTTATCCTTTTTACCTGATTGAGGAACACAAAGAAAAGAAGCAAACCATGCTTTAAATATTTAGTAAGAGGATTGAATTATTAATTTAGATGGACTGATTCAGCTTCAAATACTCAAATTTAAGCAACCTGCCATGCATTCGAAGGAGTGATTAAACTTGCAGAACCTATCTCAGAACAATTTTCAGTTTACCAAACGTTCACCAAGATGAAGTTTTGATACTTGGATTAAAACTGAAAACAAAATACTCAGGTCCTTTGCTTGCTAATCTTGGTCACATGACAGTTTGCTATAATGTCTTTGTTACGTTTTTAGTTTCTTCTACATTTTTTGCCTTTGTCACATAAAAAATAGTCTCTTGCTATGGAGATCTTAGGATCTGTGTTGGAAAACTTCAAATTTAATGATGCATGCCTAGTTTTGAGAAATTCAACTGATTTTCTTTGTATGTTGCATACCTTACAGGTTGGTTTGCGTTTGCTTCTTACTCCTATTTGTTCCAATATTGTGATTAGAACTGCTTGGTAAGCTTATCTCATGTTATTTTTTATGTTGATGTCTTCTCTAACTTTCTACTTCTTAAATTTATTTATTAATAATTCTCATTGAGGATGCTAGAATGTTTCTCAAAACTGTGGTACTGTTTTGGAAATGATATTAAGGCTTCGTTTGGTTTATGCTTCTAGCTGCCTTATGTTCCGAAAGGCAACCGCAAAAACAGGGGCTGTTTAGATAAAAAAACTTGGCAGCTTCTCCCTGGTTTTTCTCAAATTTGCTTTGGAGCTTTTGTTTCTTGGAACATAGAATTGAAATTATGGATCATACAGAAGCTTTTATAAAATACTGATTGCAAAAGCTGGAAATGATATTCTATACCAAACGAAGCCTATGTTTTCATGCTTAACAGTCACTTTCAACAATCTGATGTATGTGAGGAATTTCTGCTTTTTTTTTGCTTCTCTAGCTGCACTGTGGGGACTGTTTTACCAGTATACTCTACTTTCAAGTCGTTAGAAAGAAATGATCAAGAAGAACGAGATAAGTGGCTTGTATATTGGGCAGGTCAGTAACTGGTTTGCTTACTTGTGGCTTGGACAAAATGCATGTCCAAACTTTTTCTTAGTATAAGTGCTTTCTTATTACGTTAAATGCAACGTTGACATATTATGTGAAATCCATAAGTTGCTGCCTATATCCTAACTTTAATTGGTAGCTCAATGAAGTTTTCTACCTGTGGCAACAATAAAAATGGGCACTATAGTATGATAAGGGCTAAGTAGGAGATGTCTTGGCTGAAATAAGCACTGCTATTAGTTGCTAAAAAGGATCTAGCTAATTCCAATTATGCCCTAGAAATGAATGATGTGAAAGGTTGATATAGTTTTGATAGGGACTAAAAATTAGAAGGGTTAGCTGAAATAAACATCGATATAGTTGCTAAAAGGGATCTGGTTTATGCCAATTAGAACCTTGCATGAATAAACCTATCACTGCTGATCATGATGGAGTGGATCATTTATCTAATTTCCTTAAATTTCCTCTTTATCTGCTGTTCCTAAGTATGAATATTTCTTGCGGTGTTGACAATATGTACCACATGGATTGCTTTGAATAATTGCTTTGAGACCGGCTTATTTCAAGTAGAAGTGAGAGGTTCTCATGTTTAATCTCCTCATCTCTTTAGACTCCTTGAACATGAGATACAAAATCTTTTTTGTTCTAATTTGCTGATGTTTTGGCCCATTCAGGTCGTTGTTTTGTCTAAAACCATTATAGTCTTGTAAAAGTAAAATTCTACATTATAAAGATATATTTTAGCTGGTCAAAATGTGTGTTTTTTTTTTCTAATCAAGCTCATCTGCTGACAAAAGATACTTGACAGCATGTAAGCATTTTCAGTTGATATGTGTATATTGGTTGACTTAAATTTTGTTTATTGGAGATGTGGAATTATTGCAGCCATTTTACCCTTTTATAGTTTTTGGCATCTTTTCTCTCCTTCGTGTACTAACAAGTAGCACATACTGGTTGTGTTTTGTTGCAGTGCATGGAACTTTCAGCCTTGTTGAAGTGTTTTCTGATAAGCTGATTTCCTGGTATACATAATAGATTGAAACTAACTAATTATAGTTGATGGATATTGATGAAATTCTTGCTATATTGATTGTAGATGTTTTGTTTGTTTTGAGAACCATTTTTTAAGTACGCTGAAAACAAGTACAATATTGATTCTTTTTTGTTTCAACGCCGTATACATTTAGTGCCAATTGCTAAACTACCTCTTTTTGTCTTAATATTCACATCAGCCTCACTTGTATAATTGGCCAAAAAATATTAGGTACTGTCCATCCAATTGTTCATATGACCTCAGCATAGGGCTCACAGAAACAAAAAAACTGAGCTATTATAATAATATTTAGTTAATAAGTTATCATAGAACATTATAAATGCTTAGCAGTGCGTGTAATACTGTAGTTCTGTCATCCTGAAAGTATGAATGAACCAAAAAAAAATTGTAGTTTTCATACTGTATTTTGATATCAGTGGAACATAGGAAATTGTAAACCGGTAACATTAATTATTTCTACCGCCGCAATTTTTCTAGATGCAACAACAATAATTGTGCCAATGAAAATGTTTATGAAAGAAGAAAAATACTATATTGACCATAGACATTTGCACCTAAAAACCTTGGGAAATAAACAGTGGGAAAATTAAGGAGATCCTGTAAACTCAAATAATTAAATCGATAGTATAAATACCACATCAAAAGTCAAACAAGATGATGAAAATTTTGAAAAAATGAAGCTTGCTTTTCTGGTGAGTGTCTCAGTTTCATTTATGTTTTATGGTTGCAGGATCCCATTCTATTATCATATGAAGTTTGCTTTTCTCATATGGCTCCAGCTTCCATCAAATAATGTATGTACTCTAAAAGATTCACTATTAAGTCCACTCTAGCATCATCTGGCATCATTTTTTTTCATTTGCTCAATGCCAATTTTTTTCTAATATGGCACCGTAAATGAGACAGATTGCTATCAGCTGGGTAACAGTTTTGAATGTTCACATTAACTTCATACTGCTTTGACATTTTATTTGTTGCATTGGTAAAGCAAGTATAAATAATTTGTAGTTGCAAAACTTTAAAGTGTTATTATCTAAATGATTCACTACTGATCAAATCTTACTATAGGGTTAACAGTTGACTAATCATCAAATATGAAACCAGAATAGTACCATATGGTTTGTGTATCTACGATGAATTCTGTCATAATCTTGCACTCTATAAAATTTTTAGTTTGTAAATGAAATTATTGTAGTATGTGACAATTTTCTAACTAATGGAGTGATTGTAGATTGCATTTGCGTTACAATCCATTTTCTGTTCTACCGCATTTCTTTCCAAGTATATATATATATATATATATATATATATATAAAAGATGGATAGAGATGTCATTATTTTGGCAAGACCTTGTATGGTTATGTATAAATGTCGGTTCACCGGCATGAAATCACCTGCTAAATGAATATTTTTTTAGCTGAGCGGTACATGACTTGTACATCATGAACCTAAATGGTGATGGGTGAGGTTTGTTTATAGGAAATGATGACCTAGCCTTTAGCCCTTGAATAGATGGAATTTAATGTATTTTGTTATTTATATTTGAATTGGTCATGAGATAATTCCGAGAGCTCGAAGTGCCTCGGTCAACATTGTATGCATTGTAGCTCATTTCTTCGGTTTTCTTGTTTATGATTTACAATTTCATCATTTTGATGCTTGTTTATTTTCCAGCAGGGTGCAAGCCACTTATATAGAAGGCACATACGCCCCTTCTTGTTGAAGCATCAATTTAAATTTGATCTAATGCTCAACTACACATGTGGTGAAATTGTAAGTTCCTTTCCCAAGATGCCTTTTAATATTTTGTAAGGAAATAATGGTCCTTGTTATTATCAAATGTACCTTCATATTTTTTTATTGTGTTTGCTCTCATTAAGGGTCTGTTTGAGTTTGGTTTTGTTTTTGTATTTAAAAATTATGTTTATTTAGTGTTTTTAAAGTTTTTTATTTTGTATTTAAAAATTCATTTTATTTTTAAAAACACACAAAACAACTTTGAAGCGTTTATAATTTTTTTGAAAACTACCATCACAGCTAGTCGTCAATCATCGACGCTATCAGCCACCGACACTATCATCGCCTCAACCACCACTGCTATCATTGACTTGGCTGCTGTCACCATTGACTTGGCTGCCATCACTACTTCTGTCAAAATTAACTTATTTGTTATTCAATTAAAAAAATATATATATATTTTTCATATACCAAATAATTTTTGTAATGTCAAAAACAAAAAACCAAATGATCCCAAGCGGCTCCTAAGCATTTTATTACCATGTTAGTGGTACAAATGAAAAAATGAGGATTCATCAAGCCGACCTCAAATAATTTGGATAAAGCTATTGATAATGATATTTTTAGGGGAAAAAAATGAGTTCATTCATATGCATTTATTGATGATATATTCAACTATTTCTCTGCTCTCACTTCTTTACTGAAAAGTTCAGAAATGAATTTCCTTAGCAAACTATTATAGAATAGCATGCACTGATGCACACCGTTTGAACCTTCAGGCAAAGTTTCTTGTTGTTTACGAAACTGAAATCCAGTGCTTGAAGAACTTGATTATAAAAGGCGCAACAACAGGTAAGCAATGCGCATAAGACCTTGCCTATTATGTTATGTTTGATGTAAATTTTTCGTGTTTTGGTTATCATCAAACTTATCTTTGTTGTATGAACAAACACCATTAAGGTAACACATTGTGTGAGAAACAATTGTAGCATATGCCTTTCATATCTTTTCCAGTCATCTGTGGCTGGTTGACGAAAACGTATATTTCTCTTCAATCTTTGTTACTGTTCTCTCTTTTATGCTGCTAGCCGTTGAACTTCTGAAACTAACTTCTCTTATAGTGCATCTTGGAACGTAACATAATGCTTTCAACTAGGACCATAAACAAGTTTGTTGTACATGTTTGATTGTGTTCAGCTCTACAATTATTTGGAATTTAACAAGGGATTTTATGCAATTGCCCCCAAAAAAATAGTAAAGAGTATTCGTCATTTTATTTATTAATTTGAATTCCAAAAATATCCTTACAACTAATATTTGTTCAGGAGGCGCTGCTCCTTGACCCCGCGATCTGATCTGGCAGGTCGAACCCCGTCAGGGGGTGTTGCCCCATTGAACCCCCGAATATCATGTTTCCTTATTATTTAGAGGCATTAGTTATTTTTGGTAGATAAAATATATCTTTAGCGATCATTTTTTTTTTTTTGTCACTCATTCAAGAATTACATATCCCAAATGGGTTTCCAACATCATTATGCTAAAGAAAACCAATTGTTCAATAACTCTTGTTCATATCAATAATGATGAGCCGAACACTAAAATAATTTTGACTTATTTGCTTAATGAGTCAAGCCGGAGAACACTTAAGAGTTCACTCAAGCATGGTTTGCTTACATTGCGCTCAGTCATGCATTATATGGCACTGATAGCACTAAACATCTCCTTCCACTAACTAGTTTTTTTCCTTTTGTTTATGAAATTTTGTGGCACAGCTCACCAGATGTTGAAAGACTTTGGACTGTTGAGCTCTCAGGGGAGTGGGGGCCCGAATACGCTCACAAGGTTAACTATTCAGGACTCAAATGATGCTGAGAATTAATCTTCATTCTGTCTATTGCTCGGTATGATGGTTTTGATTTTAATAGGGCTTGAACCTTATAGTCATGTAAAGTGTATAGTTCATTCCAATGTTTTTTTTTTTTTTTTTTTAACATTTATGCTAACCTACTGAAGGTTTTTCTGATCTCTCGGTTGTCTTTTGAGTTACTATTGGAACTACTTTTCTTTGAATATATAAATCACTTTGGTCTGTTGGTTGAGAGCTTAGGTTATCAATTAAGAAGCCTTGGGTTTGAGTCTTGTGTATGTGATGTGTATGTGAGTCTGTCTTAATCTTGACCGAAATGTCCCAAAAAAAACTTTTCTTTGAATAAGTGGATGGTGTTAATGGTTTTAATTATTCATACAATTAAATTTTTACGAAGGTCACAGTGTTAGATTATTTGAGGTTTTTGATGAGCCCAAAAGTATTATATTCATCAATTGTGGGAAATTTCTTTATCAAAATATATTGATCAAATAGTATTCTGAATGAATCTCGTTGTTTTTTGATTTATTTTGAGATAAGTATAATATTAATAATTTATATATGACTGATCTCAATGTAGATTTAAAGACTTTAAGATCTATTATGATCAAATTTTTAGTAAGAATATTCTTTTCATTTTTTTTTTCATCAAATGTGTTCTGTTATAGAATGTAGGTTTCATTTGGGACAGCTTTAGTAAAAAATTAAATTTTTTTATTAGAAAGTCGCTTTAAGAAACAATAAAAAGCCGTCTCAAACAAAGATTTAAGGCTTGTTTGGACAAAATTGAACCATAATTTGTTTCATTTTGGTTGAACCAAATTTCTGATGGACTATTTTTGAACATTCTTCTCAGGTAAGGCATTTACAGCAAACCTTCTAATACAATTAGTAGTCAAACTTAAGTAACGACAGCAATTCAGTTAACGAGATGTGTTATCAAAAGTACATATTACGGGGCTGCTTGACAACCAGCAGGATTCATAAATTCTAAATTTAATAAGTCATTTTAGAACTGTTAAATTCTGAAAACTATTTGGCATGTCGAGTGTTAAATCCTGTTAAATATTATGAAATTATTTAGGGTTTAGGGATCAGGATTTAAGACGGTTAGTTTATATAAGAATGAATTTATTAAGTGTTTAATTTAAATTATGTATTAAGTAAGATTTTTTTTATTAATTTGAATTATGATTATCATTAATAAGTTTTAAAGATAAATAATATCATTAAAAACTAGTTTGATTATTAACTATTTTATTATCTTGTTAATCACTTTTTTTTATTGCTAATCACTTAAATATTCTACAACATATTATATTAATTAGGCTAATTATATTAGCATTTAGGCAATTAAGTTAATTAAGTTTGTTGTGGGTTAGAATATATACGGTGATAAAGTTAAAATTTTACATCTTAGCGTTGCACGGATATTCAGCTCACACACAGAGAACACAAGATTTTTTATGTGAAAAACCCTAAAAAGGGGAAAAACCACGGGGCCTAGCCCAGTAGAAAGTGATTACACTAGATTCGAGTAGGTTACAACGAGCTGACTGGTCCTTGTGGGCGATCAGATTACAAATGTCGACTATAAAGTTAAAATGTAGTAACAAACAAGGATGCTAGTCCGACGTTACTTTGTGGTATGACAGAATTTCGAGCCTCATGTGGCGGTCCGGCAGATGTCTGGGCATCAGGTGGTGGTTCGACAGAGTTCAGGGTCTCAAGTGGTAGTCCAGTAGAGCAACGACGTTAGGCGGTGGTAATGGCATGAAAAGAAGGGAGTTAACGGCAACGACGCCCCATGAAAGAGGGCATTTCGACGTCTCGGTTAGGCAATACGCCACCTTACTGCGTCATTGAGCGGATGGCATCCCACATGGCGTCAAAGAGGCCATTGCATGTCTACCATGAGGTACCAGGTGTGGTGTGTGCTTAAGGAAAACACCTAACCAACAGAAGAACTGAATGCGTTCCCTTGCATTCACTTTACCGACATCCAAACGATCTCAAGTATTTACTTTATGCTGCATTTACTTTACACTGCATTAACTTCACAACCAACCAAACAACCTCTAAAATTATTTTGAATAGTAGCATTATAGCGGTACAACCACTTAGAGTCATTCTGATATTTTAAAATATAATCAAAACTTAATTATAAGATATTTTATATCATAACTTGTATTATAAAATATTAGCACCTCAAACTATATGAACAACTTATCATGCACTATGATAGGTATTCTCTTCCATGACTTGTACATAATATCCAACTTACCTATAATTAATTATGTATATACTTCGATGTGCGAGTATTTTGAGGATAAAGCATACAAATTATATAAATTAATAATAATAATATAGTTATTTACCAAATGGGGCAGAGTAAAGAATGGTAGAGCACGGACCACCACCTGACGCCCTGTGCTCCGCCGGACCACCACCTGAAGCCTTGTGCTCCACCGGACCACCACCTAACGCCATCTCTCCGCCGGACCACCATCTGACGCCCTGTGTTCCACCTGACCACCACCTAACGTCATTGCTCCGCCAGACCACCACATGACGCCCTGTGCTCCACCGGACCACCGCCTAACACCTTCGCTCCGCCGAACCACCACCTGACGCCCAGTGCTCCACCGGACCACCGCCTAACGCCGTCGCTCCACCGGACCACCACCTGACGCCCTGTGCTCCACCGGACCACCGCCTAACGTCGTCGCTCCGCCGGACCACCACTTGAAGCCCTGTTATCCACCAGACCACCGCCTAACGTTGTTGCTCCGCCGGATCACTACCTGAGGCTCTTGCTTTCGTCGGACGCCCTATGCTCCGTCAGACCTTCAACTGAAGCTCTCATCTTTGCCAGGACACTGTTAAAGACTCTCACCTTTGCCATACATTCACATACGGCCTGGAGTTCTTCCAGATCATCATCTAAGGCATGGAGTTTTGCCTGATCATCATCTAAGGCCCGGAGTTCTGCCAGAATGTCATCTAAGGCTCGAACTCCTATCAGACCATTACCCGATACCCGAACTTCTATTATACAATTATTACTTGTAATCTGATCGCCCTCAAAGGCGAGTTAGCCCATTGTAACCAACTCAAGTTCTAGTGAAATCTTTTCAACTGGGCTAGGCCCCATGGTTTTTCCCCTTTTAAGGGTTTTCCACGTAAAAAATTCTGTGTTCTCTGTATGTGAGCTGGATATTCGTGCAACGCTAAGACGTAGTATTCTAACTCTATCGCCGCGTATATTCTAGCCCGCAACAATAATAAACAACATAAAATTCATATCTTGAAGTACGGGCATTACCTATGTCATTTATCCAAAATTTCCAATGTGTTGGCAATTGAATGATGTAGTTCTTCTCCATGAAGCCTTTCTCCAATAGTAGCATGGACGTTCGATACCTCATCAGGTTCTGGTACTTCATCTAACTCAGTGTCATATTGCATTTCTGTTTAAGTCATGCTGAATTACATGTCATTTCCATGGTATTGTCCTATGAAATCATGTAAGACTGCACAAGCAAGCACAATGTCTGTCTGTATCGTTAGAGGAAACTGTCTCATATGGGTTAGCATTTGAAGTCACTCTTTCCAAATATCAAATATTTGCTAAACTATGTTGCATAATTGTGTGTGGCGATGGTTGTACAACTCATGTTAAGTAGTATATCGTTGGATAATGTCACCACAATAGTCACTCAAATGGTAATGGTATCCTCTAAATGGTGACATTAGTTTGTTCGTGTTTGCGTAATTGGAATCCACTAGATACTATATGGAACTATAAAACCCCCTTCCTCAACTGCCCATCATAACATCCGCATATCCGTCATTGATCCCTCCAAACCAGAAGCGAAGCAGACGAACGCGATGTCGGTGTCCGAGCTTACGTGCAAGTCTGTAAGCTCAGAAACCGTGCAAGCGGCTAGGCGGGTTGTGCTAGCAGAATGCAGGCCATTTCTAGGTTAGCGGGTTAACTCGGACAATATCTGATTTTTCAAACGGGTCTGGAATTAGAACCTGAACCCGAGCCATTTATTAAATCGGTGAAGTAGAAATCCAAAACTGAATTTTGTGGGTCGGCTTTTTGAGTTGCGTCATAAATTAACATCCCTAGATAAAATATCACTTCCCCTTTGATGGGTATAGGTATGCAACTTATATATAGTTGGTTCCATAACCATTGTCTTTTCTTCTTGTACTATACATGATAAATATTTTATAAATATGCATAAATGATACATATTTTACATATGGAGTGTTAGCATATCCCTTAATCTAGTTGAACTCCTCTCATTGGGAATGTTTGGTTCGAGGAAATGAGAATGCAAAGTATAGTGATTACTTTGCTTTTCCACTTTTTTGGTGTTTGATTTATCTCAAAGTAAAGTAAAGCAAATTCCGCGTGTATTCGTAACTTCCAGCGTAGTTCATTTTCTGTGTAAAGCGAACCTGCTCAAAATTGAGCGAAAAAGAAATTCTGTGGGTGAGAGAGAGCAACTCGCGGACTTGTTATTGGCATTATAACCGACTCGGATGACCATCTCATTGAAAATTATCTTAGCGCGGGCGGCATTTCCCTTGTTCTCCAGCCCTCAAAGAGGATGACGAACGTTTCAACTACAAGGGGCACATAGGCCTTGATGCAGTCATGGAAGTCAGCGACGTCAGAGGTGTGGTCATCTTAGTGGTAATGGCATGAAGAAGAGAGTTAACAACAATGACGCCCCATGAAAGAGGGCATTTCGACGTCTCGGTTAGGCAGTACGCCACCTTACTGTGTCATTGAGCGGATGACATCCCACATGGCGTCAAAGAGGCCATTGCATGTCTACCATGAGGTACCAGGTGTGGCGTGTGCTTAAGGAAAACACCTAACCAACAGAAGAACTGAATGCGATCCCTTGCATTCACTTTACCGACATCCAAATGATCTCAAGTATTTACTTTATGCTGCATTTACTTTACACTGCATTAACTTCACAACCAACCAAACAACCTCTAAAATTATTTTGAATAGTAGCATTATAGCGGTACAACCACTTAGAGTCATTCTGATATTTTAAAATATGATCAAAACTTAATTATAAGATATTTTATATCATAACTTGTATTATAAAATATTAGCACCTCAAACTATATGAACAACTTATCATGCACTATGATAGGTATTTTCTTCCATGACTTGTACATAATATCCAACTTACCTAT